AAATGAATGTAAATATATACTACATGGATATCCCCTTGCCTTTTAGGTAATTTTTTAAAAATTTATTTACTCTATATTTTGATTTTACACGTATTTACTATTGATTTTGAATTCTCTATTGTAGTTTTGGATATATGAAGCATTTCCTCAAATTGAAGACAAATTTGGACGACGCATGTATAAGACATCATAGGCTCCAAGAATGCATAAATGGGAGTCAAAAAAAATTGAGTCAGAGAAGAGTAAAGCAATTTTTCACTACCCAAGAGGTATGATAAATTTAGATATACATTTGACTATCAATTATCTAATTATTTAATAGTGGGAGAGGAAAGTATTATAATTTTTTATTATATTTGTAGATTGAAGTATTTGCAGTGTTAGCACCCACTGAAAAAAGAATTGGACAAAGTTTGGTATATGACTTTATCATTACCAACTGGTAACCAACATACTATTTTGGATGGCATCGTTGGTAGAGAATTTGAGAATGCACATCAACAAATTCCACAACATATGGACGAGGAACAAATTCCAGAATGTATGGACGAGCAACAAATAGGTGTTGCTGGTAGTTCAATAGCGAAGACTTCAATTGGACTTCAAGAGTCTGGTTGTTCTTCTCTTGATTTCAACTATGTAATAAGGGAAGAAATGGAAGAAATGTTCAGTATGTATAGGCAGCATGTAGTGTCAGATATGTCTGGCTTATGTCATAATCTAAAGACAAACATAGTTGATGAATCAAGAAGACAGGAAGCAGAAACTCTTCAAAACCAGAGACAAATGTTTGAACAACATCAAAAATGGTACGAAGATCAACACGAGGGTTTGGGCTTCCAATCTGGCATGCATTCCCATCATACTGCTCAAGAAACAAAAGAAGAAGATGCTTGTTATCAAGCATTTCTTGATCAACAGAAAGAAATGTTTCAACAACAACAGAAATGGCATGAACAGCAGTATCAAGGAATGCTTCAACAACAACAAAAATGACATGAAGATCAGTATCTGGGAATGTAGTCTTATATAAACAACAATTTTGCTTCCATGCAGTCTTATATGGACAGTAACTTTGCTTTAATGACCACTTACATTGACGACAAAAACGAAAATGTGATGAATTGATTAGATGATTTGGAATCAAAACTGGAAATTATTGCTTGTTCACAACTGCAGGATGTTCCTGGTTCTAATAGTGGTTAGAAAGCACCAGTTCAACAAATTCCATCGGTGGGAACATCCAGAAAAGAAAAGAAAAATAAGAAAATAAAGTATTCAGGTTATCTGTTAGAAGATTATCTCATGGAAAGATATACAACAATAAGAGAGTGGGTGTTGCGCCATCCATCTAGGTAAGAAATTTGATTGTATTTTATCAATTATATTACATTGATTTAGTATTAATTTAAACTACATTATATACATATAGTGCATACTGGAAGATTGTAGGAACTGACAACTTATATGGAGGAGATACACTAAAAACAATAATGAATGCAACCAAAGATATCAATATTGCAATTAGTGAAGTTTATAACTCTAGCTGAATTAATTTATTATGCTTAACATATCTAATTTATTTCTATTTATTGTATTAGCATATAGAAATGGAATTAAAGCTATTGAGAGAGTTGATCAATGAAGGTTGCAATCCTATTTCCAAAGAATATGCAATTCTGGACTTCAAATTTGAACATGAATGTGCTGCCCAATTGATGTGGCAACATAATGTAATGGAAGAATGTTTTAGCCATTCTCAAAAGGATTTATTAACTGCAACTTTACAACAATACATGAATGGCGATTTTTCGGTGGGTGGGAGTTCATGGATAGCTAGCAACTATTTATTAATTCCATGTTCATATACGACAAAAAATTGGTATCTCTGTTTTGTTAATTTTTTGGAATGGAAAACTCAAATATATGATTGTAGTGAGGAGTCTCATACACCAGAAGAAATCAAGGAACAAATAAAGTCATTAGTTGAAATAGTCCAAATTTTATTGAAATCTAGCAATTTTTCTTCTAGGAGACTGGATTTGAGGAAGCATAGAAACAAAAGGCTCAATTTGGAAATTATACTTACCTACCTTGCGCAAATAACGAGTATGTAATCAATGCATTTAAATTGACAACATTAATTCTTTCTTGATTTATGATTTTACCTTCTATTATTTATTTTGTTTAACAGAAAACAATTCTTTCATACAGGACAAATTCTCTAGTTTTTTTACTTAAATACATAGAATGCTTTGTTTTAAACTATCCATTAGAAACAGTTCAAGCAGACTGGATGAGTATATATAGAAGAAAGCTTGTAGTAGACATTTGTTATAATCAATATTTTCTACATCCCAGTAGTTCCTGATTAGTTTTTGATTGTAAATGTGAAAAATTTGTAATATGTAAACAAATTGAAATTAACTTAAGGTTATTTTTGGTGCAACTACATAAATTCAAAATTTAAAAGTGAAAAATTATGCATGGATATTTTAACTGTTTATTTACTTTGAATAAAGTAAATGAAAGACAATATTTCAATTTTTGATTGTAAATGTGAAGAATTTGTAATATATAAACAATTTGAAATTACCTTAAGGTTATTTTTGGTGTAATACGTAAATTCAAAATTTAAAAGTGAAAAATTGTGCATGGATATTCAAAATTTGTATGGATGTTTTTCTCCACATTTTCTTGTTTTTTTTTTCACTTGGGGTGTTTTTATCATCTAAATCTATCAAATATGTCACGAAGATGATGTCAAATCTATAATTTGACGAATTAGACTCAATTTGGAATGCTCTCAAGTACAATGCTCAAGGAGTATCCTTCATTTTTTGAAGAATAACTTCAAATTTTGTCTATGCATCCTGTATGTCAATGATGTATACTCTATTAATATTATGATGTAAAAAAAAGGAATAAATGTAGTCTATGAAACTGTCGATGAGATAATTAACTGCTGGATAAACATAAAAATTAAACATTATTGGATAGGAATATCATCAGTAAAAAAATATTTCATAGACGGATTAGAGTCCTATTGTTATGGTTTTTTTTATAAACCATAAATATTGGAGATTCCCTATTTAATAGTTCAAATACACATGTATCGCCAATTTGTAGCTGCTTGTCGGCCAGAAAATCTGCCCAACCTACACTAAGTCAGCGCATTACACCATTTTCTCTTAAATTTGCGGTGATATCCCAGTAGTGAAGTAAAGAGTCGAGTATTCGAACATTTTGCACATGTCTTGGCAAATGGTGTTTTGCAAACCTTCCTGATATAGACTGGAAAACACGGATTAATGATTTACTAATATTAAGAATGATGTGGAATAGGTAAATACAGAATGACGTATTAAAAATAACACCTTTAATTTCTCGATGGTTATTATGATCCAGTGTAAGTTTTACTTCAAACGCAGGATTATCCATATTTAAATCATCATCTTCTTCTTCATAATTTGAGCCATATGTAATCTCTGCTCTAGAATGATCAAATATCCTCATATTCAACATTGAGTTTCCATTAGATTCAAATATTAGAACATAACCATCCTGTAAGTTATGATGATTGAAAAACTCTTCCCATCCATTAGCCAAATATATTTCTCCGTCAATTCTTTTAACAGTACTGTGATGATTATACCATCATATGCAGTTAATCGTAGTGTGTTACCTATTTCTGGTTCCCAGTAATTGATAAAAGATGTAGGAAGCATCTACAAATACGAAAAAAATATAAGTTGTACATTAATATTAATAAAAGATTATAAAAAATCTGAAAAAAGAAATTATTATATAAATTACAAAACGAATGTTATGATTTAGTGAAACATCGATGATTTTGGAGAAGCTATTTGGCACATCCATTTTTATGTCTACTAAATTTAGAAAGAATTACATAAATCATATGATTTAAAACACAATTAAAATATTGGAAATTAGATATTATGTAAAACTAAAAATCTATCTAAAAAGTAAGAAAAAAATAATAGACAACACCTGAATTTTTTGAGCAAAGTTGGGCTGGTGTAACTTGCAGGTAAAAATATTTAAATTGTTTTGGTGAGAACAAATGGTATGTGAAAGTATTTAAGCTAAAGAAATGTACGTTGCTTTTTTCAATGATTTGACGAGAGGTTTACATGTGAATAGACAAAGTATTCCCACAGTTGTAGAAATAGACATAATATGTGTAGTGGTTTTGACACCTTATTACAGGATTCTCGTGACTTTGCAAGATTTGTAATGTTTTGCAAGATTTTGTGGGAACAAAAAATGAAAGAAAGAGGTAATACTTTTTTGTTTCTTGTATTAATTTTTAACCAAAACAAGATATATTTTATTTAAAATTTCATTTTAGTGAGGATGTGCTGACTACCTCGCACAATTATGTGCGGCTGTATAGACACAGTTTGTGCGGGGCTACCCGTACAAATGGTATAGGCTACCATTTGTACGGGGTAGCCCCGCACCCGCACAAGGGTAGCTATCTTGCACAATTATGTGCATTTTTGTGAGGTGTAGCCCCGCACATTCACCGTGTGCAAATGGGAAAATAGAAATCTTTAAACGGGAAAATAGACATTTTCACACAGCAAGTCAGCACCAAATTCCCGTGAAAGTTGAAAATAGGAGTTTCTTACATTTTGTTAATACTTGAGTGTGGAAGAAAAAAAATTGTTAATAATTGTGCGGGTGCGACACACCACACATTTTCTGCAGTCTCACCCGGCACATTTGTACGTGTGTCTATATATATATATATATATATAAGGTTTTTTTATTTCTTTTGTTGTTAATGATATTGTTTAATGATAGTTTCATACCTATACTAATTTTCAATTTTATGATTAGTTTTCATTAAGCACTATTGTTTTGCTAGTTGTTTATCAACGTGAATTTCAACTTACCATCTTAAAAAGTTTTAGCTTTGATAACTAAATATAAAAAATCATGTCACTTACAAAATAAGTTTCTATAGGTATAGATTACTTGGATGAAAATAGATCTAAATAGAAGACAAAAATAAATACAAGATTTATCAACAAAGCTTGCAACAATAATTGATGGTATCTAGCACCCATAAAGCAAACCAAACACCCTGATGTATATATCATTTCTAATCTAGACAGTTTAAACACTATATGATTTAAAAGAAGAGAATAGTTGTTTCCAAAAACTTCTCAAATAGCTCAATCATTATCCACTCCATCACAAGTTATCTTTAAATCTGAAGACTTGAAAGCTTGGTTTGCCATAGGTAACCAATTTTTGAAAAGAGTGTGCTCCAATAATTTTCCTATGCACCAACATTTCCTTGACTTTCTTCACATAAATTTGAATGTCCATGTACTGCATAAATTAAATTGATTTAGATACTCTGAAAAAAAAATGTTTTGAAGTAAAATGTCATTTATTTTTTGAATAACTTCAAAATGCTAATCAGTTAGAATTCTTACAAAAATGATCCACTCCATTCCATTCATCAACTTCTAGAATAATCTAACGTCTGCATTGTAGTTGGAAAAAAAAAATTTCATTTAGCATAGTCGACAGAGAAATCACGGACAAAAAAAAGAAATTCCAATAAATCGAACATAGACCTATAAAGAGGTGTAGTTGTATGAATGTATGAACGAAAGAACCTCCTTGTACACAACATTTTTAGTACATGAGTTGTGCGAATGATTTTCATTGGACGGTTTGAGTAGAACTTTAATAGATCTGCTTGTTTTTGCTCTTGACAGTGCTACATATAATTAACCATGGCAGAAAACTGGTTCTGGTAGGTACAAACCCACGAAATCAAGTGTTTGACCCTGTGCTTTATTTATTGTCATTGCAAAGCATGGTCTAATTGGGAATTGAGTCCTTTTAAATGGAATCGTAGTTCGATCAGTTTTAAGAGGTATGAAAGGGACCCTAGGTAAGAAAACTTGTTTTCTACGATATTCACCAGTTGTGATTTCAGCAAGAATGACATTTCTCTCAAATTTTCGACAGGCAAGGCTTGTTCCATTGCATAACCCCTCGGAAGGATTGATATTTCGTAATAACATTACAGGACAATTCATTTTCAGTTTCAACTCATGAGGTGGAATACCATTAGGTGTCAAAGTATTCAAGAAGTCTTCCTGTAGGCTTTGTTCTAATTTCTCAATTGCTTCATCAAAACTATAGTATGTGAAACTTTGATCGGGAATTTGTTCAAGCAAAAGTCCATTAATGTAGTCAACACATTCATTCGTAGGTGTAAGAATAACACGATTGACCATCATATATAAATGATCAGCATATGTGTCTATATTGGGAAACACACATTATATCAATTTTTTTAAAGACGTAATTTCATCTTCGAATGGTAGAACTATACTATTTGGTAGTTTAATACAGTTGCAAGTATGTTCTTCTTCTGTTCCACCTCTAATTCGAAGTAAGTATTCACAAAAAATGGGATCAGACTTCGCTCTCATATTTTCAACCAGTGCTAAATGTACAAAAGAAGGCCACAAATATGAGTAAATCATGCTAGCCTTTATTATGTCTTCTTTGTTTCCCTTAAGTACGACTGGTGGAATCTGTTTAAAATCTCCTTCTAAAACTATTACTTTTCCACCAAAAGGCAAGTTACAATCAGTAATATCTCTAAGCATTTTGTCTAGAGATTCTACAATACAACGATTTACCATAGGTGCCTCATCCCAAATTATTAGCCTACACATTTTCAATAAAGTTCCTAATGCCGATTGCTTGCTAATAGAGCAGTTGACTTCACCTACAGTTTCTAGAGAGATTTTAAATCTTGAATGAGCAGTTCGACCTTCGGGCAATAAAGATGCAGCCACTCCGGACGATGCAGTTGCTAAAACTACAAAATGACGACATCTGACACCAGCCAAGAGTGCTCTATATAAAAAAGTTTTTCCTGTCCCACTCGAACCGTCGATAAAAAAATTTCCACTTGATTCATCTTGTACTTTTTCCATAATTGTATTATATGCAAATCGTTGTTCTTTATTTAACGTTGCTGCACAACTAAAGTTTCTTTCAATAACCAATTTCGTTGTTTCCTCTGCAACCATTCTCATCAATCTTTCATCGTTGTCTATATTTACGTTAAATGATTCCATAATCGTTTATATTTTTACCAAGTGATTCTCAAATAGAACTTATATCCTCTAAAGCTCGTACCTCGACAACTTCAACGAGCATATTTTCATTTACATAATCATCTCTCATATAAGGCTTAAATTTATTCCACAGTAATTTAGGATTATTTGGATTACACATTGTAAGAAGCGTAGAAAAAAGACGTCTTAAAGAATGAGGCATTTCGTAAATAATATCTTCAGATAAACATTCTTGATAACGAGTATCTCCATTTAATAAACCATAGAGAAGCGCAGCTTCACGAAATGTACCAAAATCTGCCCCATTGAAAGTCCTTAGATCATCAAACGATATTGGACCTCTAATATGATTAAGAAGAAGATGAAGAAAATATCGTTCTCCTTCAGATGGATTTACCGAGACAATTCTTCCCACAAAAATTTGCTTCTTTCTAGGTGTCCATGTTTTGTTAGATGCATTCCAAACAAAATGCGTTGAGAAATCTCGATACAAAAGCGTTCGAGCAAATTCATTTATTTTATTTACTCGAAAAAACTCAGTTAACATAGTTTTTCTCGTATTTTCATTCTCAATAACAGAAGATAACTTGTCTGTATTTTGTAAGTTACACATTGATGATCTTCAATATGAAGTTGTAAAGCACAAACAACTAGATATATTTCTGATAAATTGAAAGTAAAAATCCTCCACATAGCTTCAGGTGGAGATATCCATCTAGCATATTGGTAAGTAGAAATTTCATCAATGTCTTTGTCTATGTTATTTTTGCATACCAAAAAATTAATACGATCATGTCCTTTGTAAACATATTTTTGTAAATATTTAACAGATTTAATAGAAGAACATACTTCAACATCGATATTACAGTCGAATTTTGCACTTAAATAAGGATTATATGGCACAACCCATTGATTGTCTAACATTTTACTTCTCACTCTAACATAAATACCATTATCACGCCGCCTATACAGTGGGTACGAATTATCTCCAAATATAGTACTATTACAATAATCCTTTGGATATTTATTTTTACAACTATTTTTCTCGATGCATATGTTTTTAGGATTTAGATTTCCACAAGGACCATGCATATTGTGCTTTACAATAACTGAATGAAGATAAGGATGTATATTTTTATCAAGAATTTCACAAGATACTATTTTATCAACTTGTTTAGTGGAAGAAATTTTATGACTACAGTTAAAAATCAACAATAGATGTGAATGAGGGAGACATCTTTTTTGAAATTCAATCACGTATATATGAGCTATAATAGTACCAAAAATATATCTCTTGTATAAATCATTTTTAAGTTCTTCTAATTTTGCTCTAAATACACGTACAATAAGATCAGGTCGATTTTGAACCTCATCATTATGTTTTAATTCTTGCTTAATTTCTGGCCAATTTGGATTACATGTTATAGTTATAAACAAATCTGATTTTCCATAACGTTGGACAAGAGCTATAGCATCTAAATACCTCCTTAGCATATCTCTAGGTCCACATGTAAAGGATTGTGGTAAAACAAATTTCTTTCCAATTTTGTACCCTCTCGTTTCTCCATTATGTATACTGTCTACGATACCTTGATAAAGTTCAGCACGAATTTGTTTCTGATTACTACGAAAATAATCTAATCTAGATGTCTCTATTTTAACATACATATCCACAACATATTGTTGAAAAAGTCTACCAGGGTGAAGCAACACAGACTTATCAGAAGGCCTAATTTGTAACTTATACGAATAGTACTCACGACATGATACCTGGGACCGTTTCTTCCTCGTATCCTTCAGCACTACATAAGCGAGAATGAATAAAATTTTATATTTACTTTCAATATCACATTTGTAGAAGTATAATAGACACAAGAAACTATATAAGCAAACCTACAGCCTATTTTTCAATAATTTAAGTCGTAGAATTTATTACATTAGGATCAACGATATTGTCCACAAACTGTGCAATATGAGAAGATTTTTGTTCGTATCTTAGAATGACTTCATGCCAACCACATTCACCCAAAGGAAAGAGCAAAGGATATTGTAGAGGATCATAACAACCATAATAATAATGAACCCTATGCGAATCACCAGAATGACCATATATAGTAATATCACGAACGCGAATATTTGTATTTTTATCATCCTCAACCCATATAGCAGCTACTTGAGATGTCGACAGAGTATTAAAGACTCTCTGATCGAGTCCTACATGGCATCTTATTTGAATTTTATGCTCATGTAAATCAGTTCTATTGCTTAAAGACCTAAAAAATTTACTATACGGATTTACCTTCAAGATTTCAATTAGAAGAAATAAAATAGATTCTACCAGGTGTTCTGAAGTTTTCATACGGTTTTCTAGTTCATTAACTGTATCATAAAAATATAATTGGATATAACAAGGTGTATTATTATCCGGCATAAGTTGATTTACATAATGATACACTTGTCCCTGAATTCTAAATATGTAGATACATTTGTATGCTTTAAACTGTTCTTTATCGTACTTTACACCAAATGAAGTGAACACAAAGTGGTTATTATATGAACGTGCATATTTTTTAAATTCAATAGATACAGGCTCTTTAGACGTAAATAAAGTATACAATTCATCCGATGAATCAAGCATAAAAAGTTTCACCTTTCCATTAGAACAACAAAAACCTTTAGTCTCTCTATACAATTTGTGTGCACCACAATGCTTACAATAAGCACAAGTTGGTAATACATATGCAGTTGCTGGTACACTTAACAAATTAGAACTTCCATGTAATTCAGAATCAAAAGTATTTATGATTTCTTCATTCGAAGTAGATGCCTTAGAATGTATTATATATTCATGCACAGAATCAACTTTAGAAGTATTATTTGTAGATAACATACGATCATTTATTCTTTTACGACGATCAATACTTACAGTTTCATTTCGATATCTCCTATCCGCCTGCCTTCGATTTTGTTGTTGCCAAATGAATGCATTATATGATTGACTTGTGCTTTGGGGCAAAGTTTGAAGATCAAAACGACCAGATTCTTTATTCATAGATTTTTCGAAAGAATCCATGAAAACAATGAACTGACCTCTGATTTCAATAATAGAAGAAATTATGAATTTAATTAAAAACCAACCAATAATGATAATATTACATTAAACACAGTATAAACTAAATTGACTGAACTCAAATACATATTCGAAAACATTCCGCAAATCAACAATCCTCTTCGAAAATGCACATAAAAAAGAACTATAAACTGGACGATAACAATCAAACATTCCTATACCAAACTGTTGTAATCTTCATTAAACATAAACAACAACTTAAACTTCTCATGTAGATAACGGTAAAGAAAGAAAGACGTAGTCAAGTTGTATATACAGAACAAAAAAATTATATTACATTACTTAAACCTGAAAGAAATAGTAAGAAATAAATACATACGAAAGAAAAAAATAAAACCTTCATAGCTATATCCAACAAATAAAGAAAAATTTACTTACATTTTCATGTATATACAGAAAGAATAACATATCTCACATTACGTAGGAAAATATGAGCGAAACTAAATTTTCATCTGTAGACAGAATAAAAAACAACATATTTTAAATAAATAAAAAAATAAAAAGCACAAACAAAAACTAAAATTTCCAAGGACATACCCAAACACAATCGTTACAAATTCCATGATTTTCTTCTCCAAGATCGAGATGAGGACTAAACAAATTTTTTTCATACAGAAAGAAAGAAGAGTATCGAATGTTTTAAATATGGAAAGTTCTTTCGTAGATGGAAGCTTAAATTTTTTGGATACAAATCAATCCAATTGAAGGAAGGAAAGAGACTAGATAACTTGAGAAAGTGATAGATAATACATTACTTTATATATTTTTTATATCTTCTTTTATTTATTATATTAAATGAAAAAGACAAACCATTTGAACCAAACATTTCAAACCAATTCAATGTGAAAACGTACGAGACAAAAATACCATTCTGAGTTTTTTTTTTTTTTTAACAAGAAGCTATACAATTTCCACCAATCCATCGGAAAAGAAGTAAAAAAATATAATAAATACAAACAATTAAAATTGAAATCATTTTAATCGAGCAATTTAGAAAAAAAAAGAAAAAATTTATACTCGTAAGTAACTTGGAGCAAACTTTGTACTCATAAGTAACTATTTACATTTTACAAATATATACTTAAAAATCGAAGTTCATATTTTTCACTTATAAATACCTTTACAATTACATTTTTCAAAAAATCGAAGTTACAATTACAATTTTTTTTAACTTTGATCTGAAATAATTTTTACCAATTTTTTTACCTACTACTATAATAGTAAGTAACTCTTTACATTTTAGATTCTAAATCTCTTATATATAATTGCAAAAGCTACTAATATATATTTATAAAAAAATGTTAACTTAAAATTTGTGAAGTATAAATATTTAGATTTATTTAGTTTATTAAATTAAATATTAATAACAAGATTACACTATAAGTAAAAAAATCAGCTAAAGTTATTTAAAAGTAATAAAAAAATTGTAATGGTAAATGTTAATTATAGGTAAAAAATATAAACATTAACATTTGTAAATAAATATTTAAATATATTTAATTGTTTAAAATTAAATATATTAATAAAAGAATTTACCAAAAAAAAAACAAAAACAAAAAAAACAAAAAACGTGTCAATCCTCCGTGCACAGAGGACATGATCCTCCGTGCACGGAGGTTTACTATATGTTGCTTTTTTCTTTTTTTCTTTTTTTTGCTTTTTTAAATTTATGTTTTTGTGTTCATTTTCAGTTTCCTTACGGGATATCAAACGAAGTCGAAATATTACATTCTTAATATCATATTAAAATACTCGTGAGATAGAATTGCAAGTCGTTAACGGTGCATGAAACGGCTAATTGTACCAAATGTTACGGGACGTCAAAATAGGCATTTTCAAAGTATATTTCGAAATTTTTGATAACAAGCTAACTCTATAAATCCATCGACCATTATACGATAGTCGAATCGATAAATGTTTTACATTCTCTCGAAACTCATTTCAAGAAATATATCATAGATGTAAATTAGTATCGAAAATAGTTAAACAGATATTAAACATATGTGTTAAAAAAATGCGTATAAATCATTTTTTCTTTAAAAAATTAATTATTTTATTACTATTTATTATTTCTTCGCAACAATTTTCTCAATATATCATTTTGCTCAAGAAAAATTATGGGGTACGACATAATTTTTTTCTCCATACACTAAGTGAATATATATATATATAACATTTTTTTTACGATAATTTTGTTTTATTAATATAATTTTCAAATTTAAATATATAAGATATGATCGATAGTTAATACCGTGAGAATTAGGAGAAAGAGTATGGTGTGTCAAAATTAATATAATTTTCAAAATTTAAATATATAAGATATTGTTGATAGTTAATAGCGTGAGAATTAGGAGAAACAGCATGGTGTGTCAGATTCAAAGCAACAGAGAAATATTACAGTGGACAATAGCGTGTGACAAAAGTCCTACAGTATTTTTGAATAACATTTTTCCTGTTGCTAAACTAGTTTTTAAACCAGTTAAGCGTGAAAACGAGTGTAACAAAAATGAACAGTAAACCCTCATTCTCTCTTTTATGGTAGTGTAGATATATGCGTCTTCTTCTCGCATGCGCTCTCTGTCTCTCTGCCGTCTTCTTCCTTTTTTAATTTCCCAAGCCGCGGTGACTGTTTTTGTATATGATAGTAATCAATTCAGCCCCTTAATTCTCCCCAAAGTTGGATCAGTTTCTGTGCGTGAATTTAGATAATAAAACCAACCAACCACTTTATTGATTGACACGTTTAATTCCAACTTCCTCAAATTCAGAGCAAATTCCCTTCCTTTTCCTCAACTGCCACCACTTTTGTGTATATAGATATAATATATTTCAGCCCTAGGCAACCCTCACGTGTATATATATTAAATCTGGAAGTAACTGGCTTCAAGGTGTGAAAATCTGTTCTGTTTTGCTGGCTTCGAGTGAGCGTGTGTTTGTGTGTATATATAAGCCGGCATTGTCTAGTTCAACGAAGCTTAAGGCCTCTGCCTGGCTTCAAGGTGTGTAATTTTTTTTTTTTTCCAATTGAATTTGCTATTTTCTTGTTTGTTGGCTGGACAGATTGTAATATGCTTGGGAGTATTGGATGGATAGTAATATTTTCTTGGATGGATTGTTTTATATATGTATGGGGGCATATATGTCATTTTGATCTTTTAAAAAACTTTCCGAACCGGTGGATACTAAACCCCCAATCGTGGGTTGGGGAGTTTTAAGAACCGCTACTAAAACCGCTCAAAATCGCTCTGCTCATAAATGTTCAGAACCGTTGCTCTAAAAAAAAAAACGTTCCATAACCGGTATGGTGATACTCCCAAGTAGGTCCTTGGAATAAAATTTCTGATTTGTGAAATGTTAAAATCCCTCCCTGAATTTAGAATTAAGGATTTTAATGATAGGGTTTTGTGTAATTACACTATTGAATTTACTTTCATGGAGAGAGAGAGAGAGAGATTACTATAATTATTATACAGTCTGAGAAGTAGTTTCCGAGGAGGCACGGGTGCTCCGCTGATTTCTCCAACAAAATCCCAGTTCCTACCGGGGTATTATTATAAATGACCTGCTACTATTCATTTTTGATAAAAATGTCTATTATACCCTTAATGAAATAATTTATCATATATTGCACAAGATATCCTTAATTTACTGGGATAGTTTTAAATTCCTCTATTTCTCTCATTTCGAGTTTTAATATATAATTTCATCCTTTGATCTAATAAATTAGCATAATCTGTAATATAATTATCATGTAATTTACTAAGATTATCAAATTCCTTCGATAATATATCCATAATCTCTAATTGAGAATAAATATTTTCTATTTTTTCCATTAATCTATCTAACAGATTATCTAATCCTTTAATTGTATATCCTGGCATTATTCAAATAATTCCTTGCAAACTTTATGAATAATAACATATTTAGATAAGTTTTTTACAAACATGAACAATAATAATCCCTACAATTCTTTCAAGATATTAGAAGAATTCTTTCTAAATTTAACAAAGACAATAATTTTACCTTACTTTTGATCTTTAAATCTGTATTCTTAGAACCGAGTGACCTTCAGGCTCTGAATTTGCAAACTGCTCCCTAAAACGGCATCTTGCCTCAATGGGAATTCTGCTATTTCAGCTTCTTGCCCTCACTGTATCTTTTCTTAGAATTAAGAATAGAGATCTTAAGTAAAGAAAATTCTCTCTTTGTTAAAGTAAGAAAGAGATTATCTTCTTCAATCTATCAAGAATCTATGGGATAGTAAGTTTAGAAACTCATATCTTTCTGATATCAAAAGATTGAGATTTTATTTCTATAATGATTTATACAAGATTTATATTGTATACAAGGGGTTTCCAGAAAAACTGGTTTTGGAAAAAGCTTAAGGAAAGAGAATGGTTTCTAATTTGAGATGATCTATTCTCTCCCAAATACCTCTATTTATACATGATTCAAACTCACTATGATTGATCTATTACATCATTGCATACATCAGATTTTTGAAAAAAGGCTCACATGCCTCTCTATTCTTTTCTTCCTGGGGTCTACATTTTCACATGCATTCTTTGAATTTTCATCAAAGGGACCTCCTTTCTTCTATTATTGCCTTATCATCTTTGGCTTCATATGCAGCTGGCTAGATGCTTTGGTAGTGGTAGGTCCTTTTCTATTTATCAATCCTTCAATTTTGTCTACATGTGGGGCACTCCCTCAATCTGCATGATTCTTGGATTGTTGTTGGACTTCCACTAATTTGATGGGTATCAAATTTTAAGATATATTCCTTCAAAATTGTAGATTTTTCTTTTCCATTGTTTGTAAGGAGGGTCCATCCTTCATATTGGCACAAGCATCTGAATTTTTTATCATATAAGTTCTTTGCAATGTTGTAAAGGACTTTCATCCCCAAAACTCTCCGGGAT